TTCCTCCTACACTCCAAAGACATGCTGGTAGGTTAATTGGCTCCTGTCTAAATTATCCTAATTTCATCCCTGGCCATGCGGGATCTACTGCATGGTAGGGGTTGGGGAAAGACCTGGGAACCTGCCCTGTAAAATAATTGCTAAGAGAATTCATGGAAAAAGTCGCTTACGAGTGGCAGTCCATGCAATCGCCAAGGGTCGGATACGACTGAATGGATAGATTGCTTTTTGTCATCCTAGATGGATTCTGGAAAGATGCACCAGCTTCTCTTTCCACCATCTCTAAGTGGCTCAAGCAGGCCATCACTAAGTGTATGGTCTCAAGCATGGAGTTTCACCTTTTATTCTCAAGTCACACTCTACTAGATCTGTGTGTGCTTCTTGGACTTTATGACATCAAGGAAATATTTTACAGATTTGCAGGGCTGCCACCTGGTCTTCTGTTCCTACATTACATTTTGTAAGTTCTACCAGGTAAATGTTTCGGCATCATCTGATGCCAGCTTTGGGCTTAAGGCTCTTTGAACTGCAGGCTAGCCTAGATTTTCTGTTTGTTTTTTTTTCCTGGAACAATTGGTGATTGGATGCTGCTTGTCCCACCCCTTAGTTGGACTTCTTTTGGATGTCCCAAGGTTATAGACGACTTGTGCCCCTAAATGGATGAGAAAGAGAATGGGATTTTTCTACACAAGAAAAATCCTTTTTTTTTTGGAATTAACTAAGGGACACAGGTCCTACTGCACTGTGTTTATGGTCATGCTCCCAGAATTGCTTTGGTACAAAACTGAGGCATGCTGGTAGTAGGCACGGTTATCGTGGTCTGGTCTATAGTGGGGTTTTTTTTTTTTTTTTTTGGCAGTGTCCAGTCCTACTGTAGGTGGCAGTATAACCTGAAGATGTCCCTCAATGGACTCCAAGGAAAGGAATTTTATGGGGAGTACAAAAATCCTTATTTGCAGTGTTCATCCTCTCCATAAACTATTTTTTAATAACTTGCAATGTGCCTCTGCGCTTGCTAGCAAATTTTACTTCTTCAAAAGAGCCAGTTCCCTAGCTCAGTCCTCCTTGCACATCATAGCTCTCTCCTCTGGGAATGTCTTATTACTCTTGTGCTGGCCTAACCCCTCTATATTTTTCCTCACCTCCCATTCATAACTTTTATGTAGCTACTGGGAGAGGAGCAAAGGATTATAAAATTGAGCAGGATTTCTCAACGAAGATTCCAATTCTGACTCTCATATGAGTAACTACTTACACCGATGAACTTTTTAGCTATCTGTAAAGGGGAGATTATTCCTAATGACCACAAGTTTAAGAAGCATTCTCCCCACTGACCATCACACTAATGTACTGTGACCTGTAAATATAATTATTTGCAGGGGTTCTCTAGGGCCAAAAGGTTATATCAAGGGTTCGGTCATGTTAAAAAAAAAAAAAAAAAAAAGCTAAGAAAAGTGTAACTTAATGGGTTGGTGACATCACATGCAAGATGGCAGAACCTTGGGGTTTTTTGATGTCTACACAAGGGGGATTTTACTGGTAAATAGCAAATAACATGTCTAAAATAAGTTAAATGCAAATACAGAATAATTTTATGGGAAGATTCTTGTTGAAATGGATTATCTGGCTACTGGGTCTCTTATAAATTAAAGATAACCAAGCAACTAGCAGGGGGCAGCAGTGGTAGTCGTCTTATGTTTTCATAGCAGGTTTCTTTTAAAATCACAAGCTAAAATTGTTAATTTGCTTGCCCCTTTAATATATCTCGGCTTATTTCCTCTGTTTTTCCAACCCTCAGCTAGAAAAATGAGCACTTCCATTTCAAGCATCCTGTGGCCTTACGGGAGTCAAGCAAAGGGTGCTGGATAGTAGTAGGACAAAGGGAGTGTATAGGGCACGGCTAGCAGGAAATACAGTAGGTACTAATGAGAAGAGATATTTTCTTATCACTCTCTTCTGATCAAAAGATATTTACTGGTCTTATCTTTACATCAAAGCCCACGTATTTCTTGTTTACAGATTTGTTTGAAATATATTTTAGCTTTTACAGTCAACAGTCCAATGCCAGCTGAATTATTCAGATGTGTCTAGTTTTTGGTGTCGGTAGAGAGACATACACAGCACATTTCAAACAGCGTTCATACTTTTGCCTACTAATTGTAATGGCTTGTTTGACACAGTACACGGAAGCTAGTTTCAGAACACAATGTGCTTGAAGGTGTTCTGGGAATCCTTCCAAAAGTTACATATAGCTTTACTTACAGTTTTATAGATGTTTCTTTGAGAGAATTGCCATTGAATGTTTTGCTGTAAAATTAAATTTAGAAACATCTGAACTCAACATGACTTGCATAGCCTTATGTAAGTGGAGTTATAACAAATCTTTGTATATTTTATTCTGTTACAGCAGAATTTCATATTGCTGGTTTACCCATATTTGAACATGTAAATTGATCTGCTTTTCTTGTTTTCAGTAAAGGTGAATCAACCATATTTACAGCCCATACATCCTCTGTGCGATGCGTAGATTTCTCGTGCGATGGTCAAACCATTATCACTGCATCTGATGACAAGTCAATTAAAGCGTGGAATGTGCATCGCCAGCGTTTCCTTTTCTCACTTAGCCAGCATACAAACTGGGTGAGATGTGCCAAGTAAGTATTGTACAATATTTATATGCTTTGGTGCGATTGCATTGATTAAACTGAAAAGTTTTCCACCTTAGCAGATACATTTTGTTTTCATTAAACAAAAAAAAAAAAAGAGTAGTGAAGTATTGATTTGTTATTCATTGATTAATGCAGCGTTTTTTAGTTTAGATAACATTTATTGGCTAACTTAAAGTGGTAGTAAACCGCAGGTGAAAAAAAAAAAATTCCCTGCAAGGTAACATAATGTGCTATTATTAAAACGAAGCCCTATGACGGTGCTGTCACTGCTGACAGAGCTTCCATCTTCACCCGGTCTTCTTTCCAGGTTTGCGAACCCCAGCCTCCTGACTAGCCGAGCCGTGATGACAGCACTGGGTCACGGCACAGTGCTTTGAAGGAATGGCATGGGTATGCCGTTCCTTCAGAGCGCATAAGCCAGCTCTCAAATAGATGGAATATCTCCTAAATGGTGCGCATATATATATATATATATATATATATATATATATATATATATATATATATATATATTTATTTATTTTACTTTCACCCTCCTGCTACCTATCATGCATGCCCTATATAAAAACAAATCTGTGTACATACCTTTTTTTAATCAGGTCTGGCCATATGATTCAGTAGCCCTGAGTCCTTTGTGTAAGGAAGCGCTCAATAATGGCTGTGAATTCCTAAAGCCATGACCTCACACAGAGGTTCCCATGGCCCATCTGTTGTCAGCACTCCCTCCTCTTCCCTGCAGCAGCCACTCTCTCACAAAGGGGACCCGCAGCTGCCTGATCACATGACCAGACTGGAACTACACAGATTTTTTTTTTTTTCTATACAAGATGTGCAGGAGAGGTGGGTAAAGAGGGAGGGAATGTTTCTAAGAATAGTTATAGTTAGCTTTAACTTCCACTTTAAGTCATAAGATTCTGCGCATGTGCACAGAAAGTAAGGACATTCTGAAGATCTGATGGATCACGTTCTCCATGGTGTCTACACAGAAAAGCAGTGCTAAGGGAAAGAGTTGTAATCTTGTAGCAAGATTAGGATTATCTACATGTGGGGGAAGTTTACTATCAATTAATAAGAATGGCCAAGTCCATAGGGGGAACAGTGGCATAACCACTCTGAGTTGGGCCAGTCATTGTATAAGGACCTGTAACACTAGAGCAAACAGAATCTGGGGCAGCTGTGTAGCCAATTGGCTTGTTGAAATAAGCTTTGAAAATGAAAGCTAGAAGCTAATTGGTTGCCATGCACAGCTACTCCAGATTCTGTGTGTGCCAATCTTTGTAAATTCCCTTCATTACAGTATGTATAAAGCCGAGAAAGGGGAATAATAGGGTAAAATCACACAAAGTGTTGATTACCCCATCTAGTACCCTGAAAACTGCATGTGTGCTTAGCACTATAGTATGTCTTGCAGAATAAGCATTTAGTACATATCCAGGAGAATAATACAACAAGATATATGTAGCCAAGAACTGGTATGTATGGTGCAGAGAAACCCTGTCTTAACTTGTCCATATAGCTGGTCCCACATAGGGTCCAGGCTTCACATGTAAACGTACCCCCAAGGAGTCTGGGTGCCTTAAAGATGGACCATGGCTCTGGAGCTGTATAGCCGCCTGCAGCTAACCTGTTGCACATACCAAGTGTGAGCACCAACAGCAGGATCCAGGTCCCGAAGCAAACATTCCAGGCCAGCTCCACTGATCTGGACATAGTTCCCAAGATGTACTTCGAGGGATACTGATCTGCAAACTGCTACTGAGCCATAGTGTAATAAGCAGTCAGATCATGATAGAAGTGGGGCCTCATAGTGTGGTCCGTGTTATATAGGTACACTGGGAGGCCGTTCACCTGAAGGTAATGGCATATAACTCATGGTCTTCGAATCCTCTCCCGTGTCCTTTACTGTACTCATAACAAATATTGTATTGTGTAATAGTATTTCCAATGACTCATTTTTTTGCTCTGTGATGTTTAATAGTAATTTGTTCTTTATATTGTTGTTGCCTTGTGTGTATATTCCCTATTCAGTGACTTTGTGCCCTGCTGTCACCCAACTTTGTCTGCTTTTCTGATCTTTTATTACATTTGGCTTTAGCCCTACCTACCCACTGTTCTGTGTCGGTGATCTCTCACTGTTTCCCTTTTTTCTGAGGTGCAAAAAAAAAAATTAACTAGCTTCTTTAATCTTTAATCATCAACTTCACTGCTGTTCTCTCTGAATCTTTCTGCATTTACAGATTTTCCCCAGATGGAAGACTAATCACCTCATGCAGTGATGACAAGACTGTACGAATCTGGGACACAACAAACAGAGTTTGCATTAACACTTTCATGGATTACAAAGGGTAACCATGTTCTTCTATTTGATTGTACATTTGACCAGGACCATTGTGATTTAGTCATAATATATCATGAGTATTTTCACTTCTCATACAAGTTTCATACTGTGTTGTATTATCATGCCTGAATTTTCATTCATACTGGACAAACTACAAAAAAAGTCACTCTAATTTCTGTTCTTTTTAGTGTTTGTTGTTGCACTTTCCATAAAAGCAAATAGTATCCCATTGTGTGTGTGATAGTCAAATCCGTTACATGCCTGCCAGAAACCATGTTCTGGCTTGTTTATTAAAGCAGAGCAAATGACAATTATGTAGTGTAAAATCAAAACCCCTATGACCACCCCCCCCCACCTTTGATGGCCTAATCTGATAAAAACAATTGTAAAAAAAAAGTAATGCAAGCATATCAAAGAAGTTTTTGGGGATGGAGCCTCTTACTCTTGTGGCCCTCATTGCTTAAGTGCTAGGTTCACACTACTGCAGTGTGATCACACACAATAATTTGGCAGCACATTTATTTTGAATAAAAACCACACCAATGGTATTTCTATTACGCAATATATTGCAACGTGTCAACACAGGTGCATTGCCTTAGTACGTTTTGGTGCCATTCAAAATAAGTGCACAAATGAGCATATCACAATAGGGGGGACCCAGCCTTAGGATTTTCCCCTTTTGTATATCAATGTATGTTTATAATTGGTGTGGTATACAAGGTGTTAACGTGAACTCACAGCTGCTGCTGCACCTGTTGGCTTTCTTTTGATTTTTTTTTTCTTTCTTTTTTTGGAGTGAAGCCCTCCTGAGGGGTAAAATCATATCTTTCAATGTGGAGTTAATTACTGGCTGACCAAGAGTGGGGAAAGAATCTAACCCATCTACCCCATGATTTGTGTCCTCTGTACTTTATCTTCATTCCCCAGCCCAGAGTGATGCCCTTCTATGTCCTCTGTTCTGTTTAAGAGAGCTATTAGTGGCAGAGGGGAGGAAGATAGGTACCTATACTCGCTGGATTTGAAGGAGAGAGGTCACTGGGGGCTCTGCGGAGATCCAGTGCAGCGGTGTGAAAAGCAGTGTGACTGGTTCCATCTTGGAATGTCCACCCTGCTGCTGGAGTGAAAAGCTCTGTGAGTTTTCTCGGTCCCTCCTTCATTTTGTGGTTCTCCATGGTGGTGGTTCATTTCCCCTCGATACAACACCTTCAGTGGAAGAAAGAACGATGCCTCCGCTGCTGCCAATTGCTTAGATACATCCGATGCGCTGGAGCTCTACAGGCAAGCGTCCATGCACTCCGCCTGCCAGCCGCACCCCCTAGTTCCCCTGCTTTCCAATTGCAAACTGACCACACTAGGTATGAGAGCACAACCATCTTAGCATGGTCAGTTTTCTGGCTGTCTATTCTCCAATTGGCAGGCTTGTACTGACGCGCCCCCCTGCACAGCCGTTCAGTGGGAAGGTCAGTGCACTGCCATTTCTCTACGTCCACCTCTCCAAGCCCCTTATGCAGCTGAGAACAGAGATTATGTGATCACTTAGAAGAGAAAAAAGGTATTTATAATGTTAAATGTAGAAATTTAAAAGTAAACGTTAGACAATAAATGCAAAGGCTGCTAGCAAAAAGAGGAAGATATACACACCCTGTAAATATAAGCAATATTTGCAACTCCTAAATATTCAAAATGTGAAAAAAACAACCATAAACTTGTGCAAGTATATTAAGTCTACACACCCCTGTTAAAATGTCAGATTTCTGTGATGTAAAAAAATTAGACAATCATTTCAGAAATTTTTCCAGCTATAATGTAACCTATAAATTGTACAACTCAGTTGAACAACAAACTGAAATGTTTTAGGTGGCAGGAAGTAAAAATAAAAAACTAAAATAATATGGTTGCATAAGTGTGCACACCCTTAAACTAATACTTTGTTGAATCACCTTTTGTTTTTATTCAGCACTCAGTCTTTTTGGGTATGAGTCTATCAGCATGGCACATCTTGACTTGGCAATATTTGCCCACTCTTCCTTGAAAAAATACTCTAAATCTGTAAGATTGCGAGGGCATCTCCTGTGCACAGCCCTCTTCATATCACCCCACATATTTTCGATTGGATTCAGGTCTGGGCTCTGGCCGAGCCATTCCAAAACTTAAATCTTCTTCTGGTGAAGCAATTCCTTTGTTGATTTGGATCTATGCTTTGGGTCATTGTCATGCATAAAGATGAAGTTCCTCTTCATGTTCCGCTTTCTAGCAGAAGCCTGAAGGTTTTCTGCCAATATTGACTGGTATTTGGAACTGTTCATAATTGCCTCTACCTTGACTAAGGCCCCACTTCCAGCTGAAGAAAAACAGCCCAAAGCATGATGCTTTCACCAGAATGCTTCACTGTGGGTATGGTGTTCTCTTGGTGATGTGCAGTGTTGTGCCAAACATATCTTTTGTAATTATGGCCAAAAAGTTCAACCTTGGTTTCATCAGACCATAACACATTTTCCCACATGCTTTTGGGAGACTTCAGATGTGTTTTCGCAGGCTTCCATCTTGCCGCTCTACCCCATAGCCCAGACCTATGAAGAATACTGGAGATTGTTGTCACATGTACCACACAGACAGTACTTGCCAGATATTCCTGCAGCTCCTTTAATGTTACTGTAGGCCTCTTGGCAGCCTCCTAGACCAATTTTCTTATCTTTTCATCTATTTTGGAGAGATTTCTAGTTCTTGGTAATGTCACTGTTGCGCTATATTTTCTTTTGATGGTGACTGTTTTCACTGTGTTCCATGGTATCTATATAATGCCTTGGAAATTCTTTTGTACCCTTCTCCTGACTGATACCTTTTAACAATGAGATCCCTCTGTTTGGAAGCTCTCTACGAGCAATGGCTTTTGCTGTAGGATGCAACTAAGAAAATGTCAGGAAAGACCTACTAGAACAGCTGAACTTTATTCGGGGTTAATCAGTGGCAGGTGTACTGACTCCTATTTAACATGATTTTGAATGTGATTGCTTAATTCTGAATACCGCTACATTCCCAGTTATAAGAGGGTGTGCACACTTATGAAACCGCATTATTTTAGTTTTTTATGTATACTTCCGCCGCCCATCCCAAAAGATTTAAGTTTGCTTTTCAATTGAGTTGTACAGTTTATAAGTCACATTAAAGGTGGAAAAAGTTCCGAAATGATTTATCTTTGTCTCATTTTTTTACATCACAGAAACCTGACATTTTAACAGGGGTGTGTGAATTTTTTATATCCAGTGTGTGTGTGTAAAGTGCTGCGTAAATTGACAGCACTACATAAGTACCTGTAGTAGTAGTAGTAGTAGTAATAATAATAAACGTGGTAGTCTCTCGTTTGGCCAGCTCATGCTTGTGATGGGTAAAGTGTTTTTTTTTTTTTTTCTCCTTTCCCTCACAAGGTGGGAGTAACCAGCATCTGTAGAGACAGCTCACAAACTGGAGCCAACAAAGTGGACTATTGTGTAGTTATTTATTAACTAGTTTCAGACTTTGGGCGTGCTAGACACACCAAAAAAAAAAATGTCATTGTACACAGGTCTGCCCTGCTGCTGGGACTCCCCCTCCCAGTATACAGCAATTCTCAGCTTTGGTAATCAAAGCCGGGATCACTGTATACTCAAAGTAAGTGTCAGAAGTTGCCGCTGTCAAAAAAGCAGTCTGTATCAGCGTTTATAAACAGCACTGCTCCAGACACAAAAATCGCAAGATACAAAGTAACATAATGTTACTTTTGTGTCATTCTGTTCATTCATCTGCAGATCAAAGGGATGGACTTCCATTTGCAGATTATGTCAGTTAAAGCAATCTGACAATTAAAAAAAAAAAAAAAAAAAAATCTTCATTTGTTTAACCCCTAGCTTACACTAATCAGTCCTAATTAATGCCTCATTCGCTTTTTTTTTCCCATTCTTTATTTTCCTGCTGATTTTTTTTTTTCCTATTTTAATAATCAATTATATTGGTTACACATATTATTTTTACACATGTAACATGTAAAAAGTGAATTTTATTTAGTTTTGTTGTGTTTTATCTTCTAAGGACTGCGAAAAAAAAAAATAATTGTTACAAGATGATATCATGAAAAGAGAGCCTTGTTTGTCCTAAAAAAAAAATAATATATATATCACCTTGTTTTCTTTAGTAATGACAAAGATCAAACAAAGTACAAAGTGTCCACTTCACAGTAGAGCTGTGATATAATGGTGTTGAAATATCTGAAAAAGTCCTTTTAATAACCGTCCATAATAAATGATGTTTTAAAAGAGGCGTTCCACTCCTTCCCAGAACTACTTCTCTCCCCCAAAACACTGTTTGTGCTTGTGCAAACCGCTCTTCCTTATGCGCAAACACTCGCCAGATTGCCAATCCTCCCACTCTTATGGTTGACATTGCTCACTTAAGAAGTTGCATGTCTGCTCTCTGATATCTGTTCTTCCCTATATTCCTCCATCCAATTTACAATGTATCCTCAACATAAAGGAGAGAAAAAGATGTCTCCAGTGGTACAGTAACCAATATATATTGCTTTATTAAAAAGTGAAAAGCCACTCACAAAATTAAAACCAATAATGCGCTCATCTCTAATAAATCATGAATAGGCAACGGGTATAATGTAAGTACTGATCCAGTAATGTCTCACCACCCCTGGATTACTCGGATCACATTACCATGTCACTTCTAGTCCTGACGTTTCCATGCAGCCACGTCCTGATGCATTATGTAATTTCTGATTTCCCCACAAAGCACAAAGATATTACTTAATAAACAGAATCATAGCAGAAATGTAAAAATTGCACTGATTCATAGGGGTGAACAAATGTGTGAGGCAAAGTGGTTAAGAAAAGTCAAAAATACAAGTATTAAAAACATCCACATATGCTCCAGCATAAAATACAGTGTAAAACTCACATGTAAAGCCGTTGTGCGTTGTTTTACATGGTAAGGTTTCACATTTCCTTTAACTAAACTGATAACGTGAAGGCTTTTAAAGGAAAATTCCAGGTACTGTATTTTTTTTCTGATTTTGTGGGGTACATAGTTTTAAGGCTTGACATGTTTGGTATCTATTTACTCAACACAACCCCACCTTTAATATATTTCCCCACAGCTTGGTATAATATTTGTTTACACTAAAATAGATTTTTTTTTTCCTGAAAATATGCGTTTGATAAAAAGCTGCTTGAAATATCCTGAGACATAAAAAATTTCAGCTACCACCATCTTACTTTCCAGGGTCTCTGCTTTCATTATTTGTGGTTTTAAAATTATTTCTAGCAAAAATTCAAAAAAAATTTAAAACATTGCCATGGTAGACAGGTGATTAAAGTGAATAAAACTCCAGTTCTCCAGCTAATAAAGGTCAGTCTACCTTACATAATTTTGCAGCTCTGAGATAAAATGTATTTGCTCTTTAAAGTACTATCAATTTTTATTTAATCAAGTAGTTGTGGTCCTTAGTAGCCATTTTGCGGCCCCTTGAAGATTTATTACACTTGGCAACAGATTAAGTTTGATATGCCTTAATTAATGTATCCTTTAAATCTCATGTTTTTATATAATTTCCAAGGATTACCATAGCATTCTATTTCTAGAATAGTAGGCTTCTTATTTGCATCATTGTGAATTTTAGTGCTCATTTTCTTTATTTATAAAGCAAAATATCTTTAATTTCAGACACGCCAACTATGTGAACTTCAACCCATCGGGAACATGTGTAGCGTCTGCAGGTGCTGATAGTACCGTGAAAGTATGGGATATTCGAATGAACAAATTGCTGCAGCATTATCAAGGTAAAATGGCAACATAATTAATAGTTTACCAAACAAGGCAGGTTTTAGAGCAAAACTTCAGGTATTGCAGCACTTTTTAAAAAATGCTGGTTTAAAGGGGATAGGTCCAGCGAGGTGCATGCTACCTTGCTGACTTTTCTCTTTTCTTAATGGTTAATCACAGGACAGAGTGGACTTCATATTCATGACTATTTATGTTGTGTTACTACTGTCAGGTGATTGGACACTGGCCAAAAAAGACAGGAATTCCCACCCAGGCATAACCCTTCTCAACTCAGCTGATCATTGATTTTTGTTTTTTTTTAGCTAGTGTGCATAGGTGATGGATGTGTCTACAGATTTCTATGAAGAATTTCCTTGAAAAGGATTAGTGCTGATTTCTTGTCCTGTTCCTAACACTCCTGATGGGGTAAAGAGGGCTTCATTTTGGCTTGGCTGCTACAGCCTGATGGCCAAGAGGAACTGTACCAGGACCCTGCATACAAGAGCAGGACTCTGGATCCTGCAGGTGTCTCTGGGGTACAGCATAACCTTGTTGGCAAGGTGCTATACAGATACAGGGTTGTCATCCAACCTAGAGGGAAGTCGATTCCCTAAAGGCCCTGCTGGACACTCCCTCCTGGATGGATGAAGATTGGTCATCCTGGCTCTGTAGCTATGGACGACTGAGTGCCTCTGATGTTAGTGGAGCATGTGGTAGTCCCACCTGGCACTGTTTCCTATGTTCTGGAGCAATTTGGATAACTTTTGACCTGTTGCGCAACGTTTGGCAGAGTGCAGAAGGAGTGGGTGCCATTGTTACAGAATCATGGACACAGTACACATGCATTTGAGTTTCTGAAAGCATGCTCTTGTCCCTAAAGAAAGAGATCAAGGTAATAGGTCAGGAACCGGTGACGCCGCAGGTTGCAAAAAAAGTTCTTTCATGAGCAGCCAGTCCCAGGTTCCAAGTGAAAGCCTACATTTCAGTTTCATAGGAAGAACTGGACAACCAAGTTCTCTAATTCTGGATACAAAGACCCCTTGTATGAAAGAGGCACGTGAATGGGGACATGTCTATTGAACTTTGCAACCATTTGAACCCAGGAAGTCAGAGACAACTGGGTCTGCAGCATGGTCTCCAGAGGCTATAAGCTGGATGCCGTATTTTGCTGCTTTCTACCCCTGTACACATTATGCGAAGCTTAGTCCCAAAAGATCATTGCACCTCTGCTGGCAGAGAAAAGGTTTCATACCTTTTGTTCCATCCTGTTCACAATTCCCAAGCCAAATGAAGACAGCATATACGGGACCTCAAGGGTCCGAACCAGTTCCTAAGGGAACACTTCTAAATGGAGTTCACCCGGTTGGTGGCTGCTTCATCAGGTGGACTTTCTGGTGTTGGTGGATATCAAGGATGTTGACCTATATATCCTTATTTTCCAGCCCCGCCCAATGTTTTCTGCGGATCACAGTGGAGGATCGCTTCAATCAGTTTGTGGCATTGCCTTTTGGCCTGTCCGCAGCCCCCAGAGTATTTAGGTGTTGGCTGTGGTTCTGAGGTTGTTGAGAACCTGGAGCATCCCCACCACTGCGGGGTGCCTTGATGACCTAATCAGGGAATGATTAACTCTGGTATCAGATATCCAGCAGATGGTTACAAGGGCTGGATAGGTTTGGCTGAGAGCTGTACCTTCTGAAGTTGGCCTTGGTTAGACACAGTGCTGGAGGACTTAGGCTTGGAACTGGACCTGGCAATGGGCAAAAGTACTGCTTCCATAGGGAAAATGTGTTCCTCTTCAAGTCCAGGCAGTCTCCTTGACGTCTTTTGAAAGTCCTTCAATTTGGATCTGAATGAAGGTACTGTTAAAGATGGTAGTCACCTTTGATATCGATGTGGTTCCTTATGCCCAGTTTCACTTCAGAGATTTGAAGCTTGATATCTTGTCAGTATGGGACAAACATCAGTAGTACCTGGATCTGCCAATGCATCAAACTCCTAAGACCAGGTGAGCTCTGGAATCATCATGAAAGCATCATGCAGATGCTGGATGCCAGGAAATGTTTCCTTCTGATGAATTAGTTGGATGGATGCCAGCCTGATGGATTGGGGAAGTGTTCTAGACAATTATCTGCAGTTGGGAATGCCAGATGTTGAATCTTCCACAACAAATTGGACAGATTTGTGTCCCAAACCAGGAATCCCTGGGCATTTCTAGTAGATGCTTTGGTGACTCCTTGGGTTTGGTATTCCTGATATATGCCTTCTTTCCACTTTAGCTTCTTCCTCACCTATTGAGCAGGATTATGGTGCAGGGCATTCTGATGATTCTAATGCACCTGCTTGGTGAAGAAGAATGTGGTTTGCAGACATTTTAAATCTCTTCGCAAATGGGTTGTGGACCTTTCAGATTTGCAGAGCAGAGAGCGGTGACTGACAGTCACCAGTTCCCTGCTCATGAAGCACTCAGAACTGAGCGATCAGTGGTATTTGATCACTCAGTTCTCAGTCTTGGAGGCGGGGGAACAAATTCAGCATCGGACTGATGCTGCATACACCTAGGTAAGTATGATTTCTAGAAAAAAAACTAAACTTCTCTTTTTAATGCTACTGACTCCTAAACTGTGCATTACACACTGATGATCTCTCAACTCTGCATTACTTATGCCAGACCTCTCACTTGCATTGCTTTTGGACCTCCCATGGTTATGATTAAAGATCCCCTTTTCGGTGCTGTATGATTAAGAAAATAGGATTTTTAACTTTGTAAAATCCATTTTTTGGACTGCAGTACAGGACACAGGTCACTCCCCTGTGTTTTTTATGATCCTCCTTTTGCTTGTTACAAAATTGAGGCTTGCTGGGAGGAGTTATATAGGGGCGTCCTTACAGCTTTCTTTGCAATCAGCTGAAGGTAGCTGTCTAAAGCCCATGGTCATGACTAAGATCCTGTGTCCTGTACTGTAGTCCAAGAAACTGATTTTACTGGGAAGTCAGAAATCCTATTTTGGTGCATGCAGACTCCACAACATCTTCAATTTTAGTTGCAAAGTATAAAACTGCAATTGTATTAAATACCAAATATGTTAAGCCTCAAAATTGTATGTGCCTGCAACATGGCATGAAACTGTGATACTTCAAATTGTCAATGACAAATCCTTTACAACTCATTATTTTAGAGAATTGTAAATGATGGAGCATCATCTCTGTCTCTGGCCTGTACAATATTATGCAATATGTGTTCAGAGTGAACTCTGTGAAGCCTCCAATATCCACTACTACTATGCATATGTACTAAACAAATATTTCTGCCCCATGTACATATATATTTACATGTAAACAGAAACTAGGTTGGTAAGAGATTACCTGCTTTCCGACTGCCCTATAGCAGAAATACTGCTACAGGGCGGCACTGGTGCGCAAAATCACGTATAAATACGTGATTTTGCATTTCCGGGTAGGGGGTGCTTACGCCCTACCCACGCCGCCATTCGCAGTCGCAGTCGCATCTGTCAATCACCAGGTCTTGGTGGGTGAACATTCACCAGTGATTGTCGAGGATCTCCGACGGGGAGGAAAACTGTTTGTAAACAAAACCGTTCTCCTCCCTCTCGGCTCGTGCACACTCCTTTGGATGTATTTGGATATATATATTTTTTTTTGCATAAAATTGTCACTTAAATGATTTATTGCTCACACATGCCATGGGTATATGTGCAATTACTCCCCAAAATACATTCTGCTACTTCTCCCGAGTATGGGGATACCACATGTGAGAGATTGTTTTGGCAGTCTAGCCAAGTACAGGACCCCAAAATCCAATAAGCACTTTCAGGCTTTTAACGGGCTTTACTTCCTCATTACACTTCCTAACTACCTATCACAGTTTGAGGCCCTGAAATGCCAGGAAATAAAGCCCTTTAAATGCCTGAAGGTGCTTATTGGATTTTGGGATTTATTTTTTTTGTCATTTTCCAAAAACTTGTGGTAAAAAAATAAATTCTTCTATTGACTCAACATGCCTCTCAGCAAATAGTTTGGGGTGTCTAATTTTCAAAAAGGGGTCATTTTGGGGGGTTGGGGCATTTTATGCCCGGCATTAGAAGTTTATGCCACACATCACTTACTCTTCTAACTACCTGAAGACCAAGCCTTTTCTGACACTTTTTTTTAAAATGAAAAAAAAAAAATCAGCATTTTTTTGCTAGGAAATTACTTTGAACCCTCAAACATTATATTTTTTTAAAGCAGGCACCCTAGTGAATAAAATGGTGGGTGCTGCAATTTTTTATATATCGCGTACTCGCGCAGCGATTTTTCAAATGCAAATCGTTTGTAAAAAATACACTTTATTTACTTTTATTTGTACAAAAACACAATATATTGGCCAATTATTTGGTATGATATAAAAGATGATGGTATGCTGAGTAAATAGATACCAAACATGACATGCTTTAAAACTGCGCATGCCCCGGGCAATGGCGACAGACTGCATACATATTTAATATCCATAGGCAACGCTTTAAAAGCCTTTATGAGCTAGTGCTAAAGTTGCTGCCCTTGATCTGAGGTTTGTGGCGACACCTCACTTGCATGGTGGGGTGGGGGGGTCAGGGGGTGTGGGGTGATGGTGGTTTTTGTTTTCCCCCCCCCCCCCCCCCCCCAAGTTATTTTGATTTTTATTATTTTTGCACTGTCCTTTTTTTTTTTTTTTTTTTTTTTTTTTTTTTTTTAATCACTTTTAATGCTATCACAGGGAATGCAAAAATCTCCTATAACTTCAATGGGCATTGTCATATATTCTTATTTGAGAAATCTGGGGTCTATCAGACTCTAGATATCTTCTCTGCCCTTACATTATCTAATCTCACCAAGATCGGTGTGATCAGATGCTTTCTCTATTTACAAATTGTGGCGCTGTTTATATCCTGCAAAACTGAAGTGATGACATGCTTGTAGCTTCCGATTTCTAAGACTATAGAGATGATTGGCACCATTCCGGTCTCCAGTGAGCTCTATGGTCAGCTGGCAGAAACACCGGCTGCATTCTCAGGTTCCCCCCCGATGGCACAGGACTGCCCGAGAATGCCATGGAAGGCAGTGGGGGAGGGGTTCATCTTCTCCTGCTGCTTGTAAAAGCAATCCTGCAGCTAATTAGCCACTAGGATTGCTTTTACATGAAAGCCGATCTCCAGCTGAATAAAATGCAGCTACAGGCATCATCCTGGTATAACCACTCAAAGTCCAGTGATGTACCAGTACGTTGCTGGTCCTTGTTGGGTGTATATGCTATGTCCTTTTTTTTTTTTTTTTTTTTTTAATGCAGCCTGTGGGCTGAATGAAAAAAAGAGAAGAAATCTTTGCCAGAAAACGTGTGTGGTATGCCCACCATTAGAATATACCGCCGTGCATCCACCCACTTCTAATGGTGGGCACACATGAAATGTGCCAAAAAATATATATGCCGAAGCATAGGGGCCGTCCACCCACTGGCCACCCCAGGCCCCCATGCTTCGGCATATATGCTCTTTTTTTTTAACTGTGGATGAAAAATCTCATCCAACAGCACTACACACACCTACTCATGTATATTCTGAGAGCAAGACCCTGTTGCTGTAAAAATAAACAAGTCGGTGCTGCAGCTGAATGACATTCCTGCAAAGAAAACCGCAATGGTTAACTATAAAACAGTAACTCAATAAATGAACTTTTTTATTGAAATACGTGCCCAAAAATGTTATAAAATGTATATGCTGAAGCATAGGGGCCATCCAACCACTGGTCACCCAAGGCCCTTTTGTATGTGTGTGTGTGTGTATGTATGTATGTATGTATATATATATATATATATATATATATATATATATATATATATATATATATATATATAAAATATGCTCGTTTTTTTAACTGTAGATGAAAAATCTCATACAACAACGCGGCCCACGCTGACTTATGTATATTCTGAGAGGAAGTTGCTGTCAGAATAAACAGGTCGGTGGTGCAGCTGGATGGCATTCTTGCAAAGAAAACAGCAATGATTAACAATAAAACAGTAAAATCGTAACAGTAGAACAGTAACGACGACGAAAAAAAAAAAAACTACAACTATTTTTCGTTTTTTAAAATATTTAATTCTATTTTTGGACTTATTATTTTTTATGGATTTTTTTACTGTTTTTTTTTTTTTTTTTTTTTTTTAAACTTTTGCATTTTAAAACTGATTGTAGGGTCTCTCAAAATGCGATAGTCAGTTTCTTGACTACCTAACATCTTTTGAGACCCTGTGTAAATATGTGCCCTGAACTGTATCGTGCTGTACCCTATACTAATACTTCACTAGTGTGTGGTACCGACAGAAGCAGTCCTTGAGTCAGAGACCAGGTTGGCCAGGACAGGAGGGACAAAAAAAGCGGGTGTCACATCTAATCCCATGTGTGCTACAGAGACATCTTTTTTGGAGTGTCCTTTGGGTTGGGGTACCAGGAATGGCTTTGGGAAAATGCCTCTCATGCAGCTGGCTAACTGCAGCTGGCTTTGGGGGTTTGGGCCACAGCACCTTTCTGGATACAAAAGGGCCATGATGATCTCTTCCTGGAATTTTAGGAAGAATCCACTTCGTCCAGTTGCTTTGTAAAGCACAAAAGCATTATATAGAGCCAATTGAAATAAATAAACAGACACTTTTTTTGTACCAGCGGCTAACTTTTTTGGAAACTAAGTATGGCTTTCATCATCTGGTCGTTGAAGTCCACCACTCCCATGTTAAGGTTATAGTTGTGGACACAGAGGGGCGTCTCAACAACACCAGCTACTGTGGCAATTTAGATGGTCATGTCTGCGTGAATGGAAGACAGGAGGAAAACATCACGTTTGTCCTTCCACTTCACTGCGAGCAATTCCTCATTTCTCAAGCAGGACGGCGTGCAAACCCTGCCCAGAAATGTAAATCACTTATACTGTATATACTTCATTTTGCGCAGCCCTGCCTCCCTGTAGCAGTAACTCTACTATAGGGAAATTGGTTAAAGTGGCATTAGACCCAAAAGCAAACATTTTGTTATATTGCAGCTTACCAATTCTTAGATGTGATGGCTGTATTCGTTTCCTTTTTAAGCCTTGCTTTCTTCTATTTTCATCTGGTGATTAAGCCAGTAAGTCGTTTTTTTCAGAAGCTCAAGCTCTCCAGCAGAATGTTTCAGTTTACATGGATGAGACAAATCATTTAGCACTGGCAGGGGTGATTGAAATGATCGGCTTTTATTTATTCATGTAAAGTTTTTATCCCAAAAGGAAAATGCTGTATTTTGTAACTGATTAGAACGTGTGAGCTGGTGTTTGGCTTTAAAATGTTTAGTGTCCTTAAATCTACTAATACATTTACTACTACCTTCCCCCAGACTGACAATGCTGCTGTTTGCTGTGCTTCCTGTGTATATTCCTCCAATGCTGTGCCTCACTAATAAAGGAGGGGTGTTACAGGCCAGATCACCAGATGAAATCAAGGAGAAAAGGCCAAAGATAATGAATGCAGCCACCACATCTAATGATTGGCGAGCTGCAGTATAATACATTTTTGGTTGTGGGTTTAATACCGCTTTAAGCTCTATTGTCTCATGGGGTGCAGACAGACTGATACGTTTAAGGCCCTGCGTGCTTTAGCAGGAGAGTTTAGGAAGGATTTTACTAATGGAGAAAAAAAATACAATATAATTAAACTGTTTCTGTCCATGTTCTAGTTCACAGTGCAGGCGTCAACAGTTTGTCATTCCACCCGTCTGGTAACTACTTACTTTCTGCATCTAATGATGGCACTGTGAAGGTGCTTGATCTTCTGGAAGGAAGACTCCTGTACACACTTCATGGGCACCAGGTAACTGTTCTCCTATTTACAGCAAGGAACATTCAGAATATACCTTCATGGCACAGACAGTTCAAAAATGAAGAACTTAAACTCCTCCATACAAAGCATTCATAAATTTGGTGTTCTAGAAAACATATTGAAAAATGTAATCACTTATTTGGGATTTAAGTCATCTCAGAGCACAGCTGGATTAGGAGCGGTAAATTGCTATGCATGTAATTGATGAGTTAATAAAATTGTACATGAGATGTATAACCTAGTTCCATTACGTGGAGTTTTAATGATTGTTATCCTGCACTGCTACACATTTCTGTAATTTCAATTAATTTCCAGTGACCTAATCAAAGAAACAAGCCTTGTTTAAAGGCGTGGATGCTTCTTTTTTTAAGGTTATCTGCTTTTTTAATGTTCTCTGTGGTGGCATTGTTTTTACTTCCTTAAAATGAACCTGACCTAACTTCAAACATCTTTAAGATATTGGAACAGTGGTGTGAAGTACAGTACCACCTTTTGATTCCATGAAGCTTTCAAATTAATCCCTGAGGAGACTCTTAGGTCACAGCTGTACGCGATGCCTTAACTTCTCCCTGCATTGGAATTAAGCCTCATTTCCTATCACTTATCTGTCAAGTGTAAAAAAAAAAAAAAAAAAAATCAGTGGGCGGTGCAGGATTTGATATTTACTGGAAATTGACAGGGGCAGGGTTTTACTTTTGGAGGGAGTGGTTGGTAGTTTTGACTTGGGCATACTTGGATCCAACATACAGCATGGGTCTAGGGTTTCAAACATAATTGTAGCCAAAATCATAAACAGAAAAATCAGCACAAGGGACATAATTTGTGCTGATTCCTCTTTCTCCGTCCTGCTACCCCCTTTCCCCCCTGCTGCTGTAATATTCCAGTACAGTGAGAGTTAATACAACTAACTTGCTGTCACAGGCTCTCGCCAAAACAGCCTGTCTATGCCTGCCTTTTCTGCCTAGCTCCTTCATTCATAGAAGCCGGTACTGCAACTTCTGTGAATGGGACACAGTCTATGGGGGCGGAGCTATCAGTCACACTACTGTCCTCCATTCATAGATCCTGTTTCATTCATATGGATTCACAGTTGCATCATCCAGCCTGTCAGAATCTATGCCCAGTTAAAATAAGCCACAGTTGGATGTTGTATTGAGTGGTACTCATGTATAGGGCTGTATCCCCCAAATGCAGTTTGCGAAAATGCTGGGATTTGTTGCTGTCAGGCCAAGCCACCAGTGTGTATGTAGCCTAACCTTTTGTATACACAGAACAGGATAGCTTTCTTATTAAAAAATAGTACTATTACAGTTCTAAACATGATGAGGCTAAAATAAGAATACATTTTGTAACATCTTAAACTAGGTTGTTTCTGTTTGTTTTGCAGGGCCCTGTTTTGTCAGTGGCTTTCTCTAGAGGGGGAGAAAACTTTGCCTCCGGAGGGACAGACGCACAGGTGTGTTACACCAAAGTAAAAACTGCGCAGGAAAAATAGTGAAAAATTCAGCACTGTATCTTTATTTCTATGACCATATTTTATGTAAGAAGCCTGTTGAAGCAGTGTCAGAGGTTGTGACCCCTGTAATTATTTGCTGATAAAATCAGAGACAGCTAATGTTTAGAAACTAGCAGGACCTTACTCACTATGGTGGGTTTAGGAATCTTGAAAATGTGCTATGCCAACTATGTTTGTCTAACCTGAGTTAATTATAGCAGGCAAAAAAAGTAATCCTGTGAATAAAATTAATATCCAAAACAAATGGGTTCATGGTACTCTCCTGCTCAATCATAGGTTTTCTTAACAGTTCAAGAGGGACAAGCAGTCATTCCTCTATATGAAAACCTTGCCGCGTTTCGCACATAAAGATGCATGCTCTTAATGTCCCTTAGGAGAAAGCATTTTTATTTTCCTAGCTCTTCAAGATTTTCATATTGATGAGTGACTGTGAGACCAGACAAGCTCTGGTGGATGATGTTTGTCGGTATCCTTTATTTCAGCAGTGAGTTAAAGAATACGTTCTGCTTTAACCACCTCCCGCCCGCCATATAGTAATATGACGGATGCAAGGTGGTTCTTTCGTTCTGGGAGGAAGTCATATGACGTCCTCCCATTCTAACCATGCATTTGCAGTTCTCGTAGCGCGGCGATCTCTCCTCATGAGCTGTCACACTGACAGCTCGAGAGGAGAGCCGGTAATCAGCATTCCTCGGAGGGGACATGTACACAGATCATCAGAGCACTGATGATCAGTGTAGCCCCGGTGATCTGTGTAGCCTCAGCAGCGCCACCTGTCAGTGTCCATCAGTGCCAGCTCTCATTGCTCATCCATGCCACCTGCCAGTGCCCATCTGAGCTGCCTTTCAGTTCACCTATCAGTGCTGCCAGTCAGTCAGTGCTGCCAGTCAGTGCCACCTATCAGTGTGCCTCAGTGCCACCTAACAGTGCCAGTCAGTGCCACCTATCAGTGCCATATGAGTGCTGCCTTTCAGTGCCCATCAGTGATGCCCATCAGTGCCTCCTCATCAGTGCCACCTATCAGTGTCCATCAGTGCCCATCACTGCAACCTCATTAGCGCACATCAGTGAAGGAGAAAAATCACTTATTTACAAAATTTTATAACAAAACCTAAAACCTTTTTTTTTTTTTTTTTTTTCAACATTTTCAGTGGTTTTTGGTTTAAGAAAAAATAATAAACCCAGAGGTGATTAGAATTGTGACAGCGGGTGTGGGGAGAAGATCTCCACTCCCCTGTCACAGGAAGGGGGGGCGGGGGGAGCTCAGGGAGATGCTGAACATGTTACACCTTAAATATGGGTGTAACATGTTCACAAAGATGAACTTATCCTTTAACCATGAACTCTTAAAGACTGGCGAAGGCAGATCTTGTGACAAAGTGTCTCTCATGCATTCTAAAAGTGGAGAAGACTGCACCTAATTTAAATACCTGTCTAGAACTTGTAGATGAATTTAGTTTACACTGTGCCACTTTTAGGATGCATGTGAGACCCTTTCCCCAAATCTGTCTGAGCCAGTTCTCTCTATGCCAAAAGAGAGTTGGTCTTAATTAGCTTCACTTTTAATTTTTTGGTTGGTCCTTCTGGCATGCCCAGGACCTAACTGTGATGCTTCTGGTATTACTATGTTTTGTACCTTTTTCTATGCGCAAAATTAAATAAAAAGAATTTTCCCCTAAAAAATTAGCTCCACTTTTTTTTTACATTTGGCGCATTCAATGCAACAGAATGTAAAAGTGGCTCATTCCACTCAACACAATGTAAAAGTGGCACTTTTAAAACTACCTGAATTTGGTGCATGAGTTGCTGCCAGAACAGAAAATGTTGCAAATGCTTCATGAATTTGGCGCAATACATTAGCAAGAGAGATTAATGGCGCAGCAGCTTTATTGAATTCCCCTCTGTGAGTTACAGTATTATTTTGTGGACTAAATAAGTGACATTTAGAAAGCCAACAGTAATGTTTTTTGTCATAAACCGTGCTCATTTATATTTCATCTTATAGCAGCAATGTTTTAAGCTTAGTAGCACAAATTCATGCTACATTGTGCCAGAATAGTAAGGTAAGGAAGGATACGCATGGCCATGTAAAGCTATGTAGGCTGAGACGCGTCATCTTTTCTGTATCTGCAATTTTTATGCTGTAGTCTCCAAAATAAATGTACCGTAAGCATATAAAGAGCATCTATTGCTGTGCAGATCCTTCCTTACCTTACTATTGCATACAGTTGACAACTGTGGATCGGTCACCTGTGGCTCTTCTCCGTTCAAGATATATGGGTAGTAGCACTTTTGTTTGTGTGTACTGTGCCAAAATGCATTTTGGTCCATTTAATTTCTTATTACCAACCTTTTTTTTGACCACCTCCAAAATTCTGGTAAAATATTCGAAATGTATTATAAGTAAAGTCAGAAATTATTACTACTACTGGCATGTGTTTCAATGTAATCTCAAGCCTTTGGCTGACTTACAGAAGTTTTCAAGTACTGTTATCTATATTATTTATATTGTCTTTTGGGATTTTTTTTGTTTTAGGTTTTAGTTTGGAGGACAAATTTTGACAATAAGGAAATTGTGAAACTGCAACAGAAGAGGTTGTTTCCTGAAGTTCCCCCTCATTTAAATGATATTTATCCCCGGTCTTCACACTTCCATACAAGCACTGATCATTCTATTCAGGTAAGATTGCTTCTTCCCCAGAAATAATTTAATGCAATGATGTTTTTTAGTGTTGCTGTGCCTTTTGGTGCAGTTATATTTATATCATAGCTCCTCTCAGTCCAGTCTTATACTCGCCTGTCCTCAGTCCAGTGAGATATCTCTGACTAGATCACAGCTGCTTTTCAAAGTCTTCCCAGGAGGTGCCAGCGCATGCGCTCTGCACTTTTATTCTGCTAGAGATTGAGGCCAACATATAAGCTCTTTATTGCAAGCTCCATATCACTGATTGACAGTGCAGAACATTTGGGTGTCCTTCTAGGAAGATTCTGATAAGCGACCATACGATCCAGTTAGCAATGTCTCTCTGGTTCAGGGTCAGGTAAGTATGCTTTTGGAATGTGGGGCTGAGGGACTGCAGTATAAGTTTATTTGTACTTAATGGGAAGTTACATTTTATGCAAACAAAACACCTTTAACAGAAATCTACTTATTTATTTTAAGTTGTCCTGAAAGGAGGAGTAAGCAAAGACAAACCAAGGGCTAAATTAATTTACATTATTGTAATTATTTGCTTCTGTTTTCGTGTGTTAACCCTAGCTTGTATTTCTTATTCAGATCTCAGTCTTAATGCTAGTCTGGAGCAGAATTCTTTATGTAAGCAGTGTTCAATTACTTCCATGCACACCTTGCTTTATTAAACTCCTCTGTAACCCTTTGCTGCTTCTTTGTGTCATAAATGCCATTTTGTTAAAAAGTTTAGATTTTATGCAAAACATATCTGACAAGCCTCAGTCCTCTGCCATTGCTCCAAAATTGAGAGACCATTTCAGGTGTTATGATGTAGAGCCCACCATTCTGAAATTAGAGGATCAGCCTGTTGCTTTTACCAGTGCTGCTCTCTGTCTTGGGTCCTTTATAACCCCCAAAACCACAAGGACGTTCCCAGTGCACCCACTGTTTCAAGTCTTCCTCTATGGAGACTGAAACACCCTGACATGATGTTTGCTCCCCCTAAACGCTTATGAGCTTTGTATCCGTTTAAAGCGGAACTATACTTGCCTAAACTCCAGCGATGCAGTGTCCCAGTCCAGCCACTGACATGTTCGGGTGGCTATCTTCTGGGTCCCAAGTGCCAGACGCTGTTTTTGGCCGGGCAGGGATGACTTCACTCCTGCTCATGCGTGGGAGTTCAGTCAGATTCGGTATTGCCGAATTTGTACAGTGAGCGGCACTTGTGTGGCTCACTGTACAGGGATGGACATGCAGGTAAGTAGCTATAATGCAGAAGATACAAAGCATGCCTCTTCTGCATTAAAAATCCTACCTGTCCATCCATTTTTGTTATAAAGCCTAAAGTTTCACTTTGTTTGTTAAAAAGGGCTCTGTCTCCACTGTAGTGTTCAACCATAATAAAATGACCACCATACCAGTGGAAGATGCAACTGTCTTTGAGACCCAGCAAATAAATGGCTGGAAACCTCCTCTAGAGCTCTGTTCTTATTGGCAAGCCTTGCCCTTTGCCCTCTACTGGGTGTGACTACTTTGACATACCTTGGTTGATTTGTCAAAGACCCTCAAAAGTGATCTTGCCACTGCTGTGGTTGGTTCCTTGGCTATAGAATGTTTTATAGAAATGAGTATAGCTTTAAGCTACAGTTGTTATGGACTGGCATAGGTTTTACATCTCATCCCCTGCATGGATCTCCTGCTCATATACATATACAGGACACTTTAGTTAAAGACCTGTTTGATCTGCATGACCTTTGAGTGACAAAGTCTCTTCAGATCTTCTTTTGAAACCAATTTAAAAGTTAATGTTAGTGACAAGAGTACCCATCTTCCTCAGCGAAAGAAGCCTAAGAAACAGAGTTCACAGTTTTCTTCCTCTCTTTTTTCCACTACCGCACTATCTGCCTCCAAACCCTCCAAACTTTTTCTCCCAATCCATTTGCAAGGTTTTGAGGTCAAAATCTTTCAAACCCTTGGAAAACCTTGCTTGGCATGAAGGTGCACCTCTACTTTTCAGTGTAGTAGGATTTTTGTTCACCTTTGCAGACACTTGGACCGCTTTATACCCTAGACATATTAGTGCTTCAAGTGTTATTTAAAGTAGGTAAAATGAATATCTCCTGAACGTTCACCGTTTAGGAGATATTCACTCTTTTTTAGACCTCGTGAATGTACTTTGAAGGAACAACATACCCGTGCTGTTCTTTCAGAGTACTATGCCGTTGCCCTGGACTTCCGTGCGCATGTGCGGGAGTAACATCATCATGGCTTGGCCAGTCAGATGGCCAGAGCTCATGAACCGGGAAGGAAGATCAGTTGAAGATGGAAGCCTCTGCAGCGGTGACAGTGTGCTACTGGAGTGCTTTGTTTTAAGGCAAGTCCTTCATAATGTGCTATGCAATGCATTCAAACACATTATGACATTACCTTGCAGGGGATTTTTTTTTTTTTTTTTTTTTTTTTAACCTGCGGTTTATCGCTTTTAAGGGCTAAAATTTGGAGTTTATCAACTCCAACCTTCCTTTGTCATGGTACAGATTAGCAGATCTACATCGAGCCCATCCAGATCTTCTAGATCAAGGCATCATTGCCCCAGTTCCTGTGAAAGAATGGCTTCAAGGGTTTTACTCCAGCCTTTTCACTGTTCCCATACCCAAAGAGGGCATCTGCACCATCTTAGATCTTAAAGCATTAAATGTCTTCATTTGAGCTTAGAAATTCTCTATGGCATCCACTAAGACTGTCTCCTATCTTCACAAGGGAGACTTTCTAGCTTTAGTGGAAATCAAGAACACTTGGTCATTACTGATACCAAAAACTATCAGCTGTCTGATGAAAGATCGCACCTGGACTCCTCTCGTCCTGCACATGCTTTGAAATGTGTCGCATTTTGATGACGTCCGACGCCACATGTGCTGATCCCGGACATCTTGGAGACTCTGCCAAGCTCCACCATCCATGCTGCATATGCACGACACCATCTGCTAGCCAACACCTTGTAGATTCCACCAGGTTTTCCATCTATGTTGCACATGCACAGCACCGCCTGCTGACGGATTCAATTGATCTCCTCTCTGGATCAGACACACAACATCATCTGGCTATAGACGTCTTACCCATGAGCCTGTTTTTAAATTCTAAGATGTGATTTACTACTTATCTTTTTATTAAATACCTTCACAGTACACACTTAGAGGCGCTGTGTTTCTTTGTTTTCCCTTCTGCAGAATTATGCTTCGCTCCTATGCAGCTTGCCCTTAGTGTCTACTGGACTACCTTCACCCCTGCCCATTTGGGACTTATCAAACATACATGGACTGCCACACCATGCGCCTGTTATCCCTTTTGTCATTACTGATACCAGCCTTTCAGGACTTGGTTGTCAGTGGAGTCTTGTCTTCCAATCTGGCTGTCTCTGCAGTGTTGGGCCATCCTGCTGGAGGGTCATCCCATTCAGATTCAGTCAGACAACGCCACTCTGATGGTGTAAATCGGGGGTCTCCAAACTATGGCCCTCCAGCTGTTGAAGTACTACAAGTCCCATCATGCCTCTGCCTCTTGGAGTCTTGCCTGTGGCTGTCAGAGTCTTGCAAGACCTCATGGGACTTGCAGTTCCTCAACACCTGGAGGGCCATAGTTTGGAGACCCCGGTGTAAATCAAACATCAGGGAGTAATCAGGAATGTCGCCACAGCATAAGAAGTATATCATAGCCTGTCCTGGCCAGAACTTCAAATTCCAGTCTTGTCAATTATGTTAATCCCAGGTGTGGACAGTTGACACAGTCCTTTTCATCCGGTATTGCCTGGACCTGTGGGAGTGGTCCCTACCTGAAGTTGTTCCAGGACTTGCATGGCAAGTGGAAGGCAACGGATGTGGACCAAGCTACAGGTTCAGCAATAAACTAGACAGGTTTGTCTCCATGTACAGGGATCCTCTAGCAGAAGCAGTGAATGTTCTGATAGCTTTGTGTAATTAGTACTTCCTAAACTATGTCTTTCCCCTTTATTTCCTTTTTCCCCAGTCGTCTTCCAGAACAGCCCATGAGACATAGAGCTTCTCCCACCGTGGCAGCAAACACATTATCACCAAGAATTAAACGGCCGTTCTCCAGGCCCTCACCTTTCTTCTAGTGTTTCCCCTGGACAGGGGAGACATGTCACCTCTGGGACTGGCTCTGGGCTGTCAATATCTGTACTTTTTCCTATGGTGCCCATTCATGTAACCCCCTCTGTACAAGTAGGTGGTGGCTGTGGATCCCCTGCTTTTAACTTTTCATAGGTAAGCCTGGGGTGTCTACCTGCCATCTTATCCTGTGTATTTTCATGCATTTTGCTATGCAGTCTTTTGGGGCTCCTTGGTGTTGGGCTCAGGCTGGCGGTGCACTTCCTCCTTCTGACATTTAGCACATGATGGCTAGGGAGATGCTGGGCTACTGTACTAGCCTCTCATTTTATCTATTTCAAGAAAAGGCCCAACATAAAGGCCCAGGTCCTGCTCCCAAGAAGAAATGTGCGGTTGTGCAACTAAGTTAGGATCATCCTGGGGCAAACTGTTTTGTCGCTCCTGAATTGGCAGCCTGGTTAAGGATGAGTTGGATATGGCCTGTAGGAAATTGTTGGCATTGGTTAAAGAAGAGTTGGCCTCTACTTTTAGTTCTCTCTGGCCAACATTAGAACCCCTTCAGTTGCTCCTTGTCAGCCTCTGGAGGTACCTAGGCCCTCTTCAGCTGTGATTTCATCAGCATTGGAGAAAGTTTTCCATAGGGAGGTGACAGAAGGTACATCTGGGGCCTTCTTATCCTCTCAGGCATTGATGCTGATAGCTTGGAATTTCTCCATCTCTAATTTCATGCCTGCCTTTACTGCTTGCATGACAAGGAACCTTGAATTCCAGCTTACACAGTTGCAGTCACACTTAGTAGCTAGTACTGTAGGTTTTGTTGCAGAATCTTTAGCTGAACCTGTTAAGATGTTAGCCAAATCTTCTCCCTAATCAGTTCATCTAGGCAGGCCGTCTAACTGAAGACTTAGTCCC